ATTAACAGGACAACAACAGACGGGACCATTGCCATCTCTCCCTAAGTCTGGCCAGGCCTGTTACACATTTTTAGACACATCTTCCTAGTGAGCCAGCAGTGCCTGCCGGCTTTGATCAGCTGGAGCACCCCAGAGATACCTGGGAAAGCTGGAGGAGGGCTCAGTGTGGGGACAGGGAGGCCACCACAGGTCAAATGACGCTGTGGTACTGGTGCCAAGTGAGCATACCAGCTCACTTCCTCGACATGGTCCCCTGTAAGGTGGCTTCAGTTCCTTTTCCTGAAGCACCAGAAGATAAGTATCCATGAAGGCTGCCTGCAGACCACAAGGAAGCCACTTGAAGCCTGGGTCTGTCACCTCTCACTTTCACTCCACAGGAGCCTTCAGATGTCAACTGCAGTGGGGTCAACTTTCCCTGTGGTAAAGATCAATTATAGCTCAAAGCAGAACTGATTTTCACTTTCTGAACAGGTCTTGTGGAAGATGAGAATAAGGTCAACCAACAGGGCACTGTGCCAAGTGTGGTCATACCCTCCTCAGGCCAAGGCTACATCACCTTCCTCTCCAGTCTGAGATGAAGAATCCGGGGCCAGCTCCTACTTAGGTGTCCACACCAAAGGTGATTCTCTAGGAAACATCCAGGTGAGGAGTGGACAAGACGAGGGAGAGGGATGACAAGAAGTCTACTCCCCCCTCAGCAACAAAACGGAGGATGTCAAGTTCCACTAACAGACAAAGGCGGGCTCCACGGGACGGTCACCCACTTTCATTACCCAAAAGGGACAGGGCTGGAGTGAGATCTGGTGCCAGGAGAGACTACAATGTAGAAAGCAGGGGCAGGAACAAGGAGGTGGCCCTGGGAGCCACTTGGGTATGAGGTGATGTGGGGGCCAGGAGCATGCTACCCTGCCGGCTCCTCCCACAGGCTTGAGGAACGGTGTGGTACAGTCTTCACAACAATCTTCCAGAACTAGCACGCTGCCTATGACGGCTCCTCCACAATGATATGTCACTCAATTAGTGTGAACCACTACTCACACCAATCTCAGAAAGCAAATGCTAGAAGGAGAGGGCAGTAAACGGCAGGAAAGGAGGCTAAACAACGCCTCAGGAACAACAAGCTGCTCAACCCTAGAATCAGGTCAGAGGCACAGACCGAGCGCTGGGCTTGTTGGGAGAGGTGGCTGTGTGGTAAGGAGCCACAGAGGGGCCCAGTGGCGGTTAGCATGTTTTCAGCATTTCCTGGGTGGGGAGACCTCAGTGCCTCTCATGTGAACTTCACCCATCTCTTACAGACCATTATGAGGGAGGAGCTATGCCGTGCCCATTTTAGAGATGGCAACCTGAAGCCTAGGAAAGATGTTGTATCTAAAGCTGCTCAGCTGGTAAGCAGTAGGGCTGGGACACTCTTTGTAAGGACTTGTGAGACTCAAGCCCTGACCAACAGTGCCAGCCCCGCATTGACTGCACCAAAGGGCACTTGGGCTGTGGCTCTCGCACTGTCGGGAGCCCACAGTGGCAGGAAGCCCTTGGTGAGCACATTTTCTCAGGAAGAGTCCGTGTCGGCCAAGCCCTGCTTCTCTGCTTACTCAGAATGGGGGTCTAAGCACTCTGGAGTCACAACTGTCCTAAGGATACTGTCCTCTTCCTTAGTGCCTATTTTTGTTGTTGTTTTAGTTTGGTTTGATTTGGTTTTTCAAGGCAGGGTTTCTCTGTGTAACAGTTCTGGCTGTACTGGTAATCCCTTTGTAGACCAGGCTGGCCCTGAACTCACAGAGAACCCCCCTGCCTCTGTATCCCGAGTGCTGGGATTAAGGGTGAGTGCCACCACCCCTCAGCCCTTAGTCCCTATTTTATTTTCTTGTCTTTCTTCTGGTGCTGGGGATGATACCCAGGGCCTCGGGCTGAGCAAGCCATCTATCACTGAGCTGCAGCCCCAGCCTTTACCTTTCATTTTCTAAGGTAAGTAAAAGCTAAGCAAACCCATCTTAGCCTCCATTCACAGACTCCGGCTAGAATGCCGCTGGAAGCATGGCTCAGAAACTTGACTGGGACTTCCAAACTAGATCTGGACTACTGAAACACTGTAGCAAGTGATGCCCCAGGTCATCACGTAACTGTCCCTTCCTTACTCCTTCCTTGTTTATTCCCCCCACCTCCTTTCTTGATTAGGCTCAGGACAGGAAGAGGTCAGAGCCACCTCTGCTGTCAAGAGCTTGCCTGGGATGCACTGAAGTACCAATTTTGGGTACATGCCCCATGTGAGTTTTCAACTCACCAAGCCTCCCCTGCTACTTTCTAGGAGATGCCCAAAGAGCTAAGAAAGCAGAACATGGGGGCTGTGGCTTCTGCCGGGGGCGGGAATGGGGCTCTTCTTGCAAATAAAACCTTAAAAAGACTTTTGTGCATGAGCGTTTGCTTGCATGTATGTATGTGCACCGTGCACATGCCTGGTGCCTGAAGAGGCCAAGTGGGGGCAGTGGGTCCCCTGGGACTGGAGTTATAGCTATAGTCGGTGCTTGGTACTGAACCTGGGTCCTCTGTCTTCAGCCATCTCCAGCCCCAAGGATTTGTGGTTTTGCTGAGGACACACATGTGCTAGGAAAGTGCTCGATCACTGAGCCCCACCCCCACCCCACAGGGCTCCTCTTATTCCTACTTATTGATGTGTGTACCACGTGTCATGAAATGCGTGTTGGGATCAGACTCTCTCCTCCCAGGTGGACCCCAGGGACTGATTCAGGATAGCAAGCTTGGTGGCAAGTGCCTTTACCTGTGGAGCCATCTTTTTTCACTTCTATTTTCAGACTAGGTCTCACTATAGCCAGGCCAAAGTGGAGTTCTATAAGGCATGGTTCAGAATAATACAAGCACATGCGAACAATTTCAATGTTCTTGATGATCTCGGCATTTGCCTGACAGCAGACACCAGTTTATAGAATTTCTAACATTCATGATGAGCAGATCACCAAGGAGCAATGGGGTGTGAAGAACATGAAATAGTCAAGAAACCTGGAGAATTCTGATGCCATTATATGGAAAATTCGGAACACACCAGTCTAGAGAGAGTGAGAGAAAGCTTCCCTGGTGCTTCTGAGTTGGGAGCAGAAGAGTACCAAGCTTCTTTCTGAGGTAACGGAAGTGTTCTAAAGATGACTATACTGATGGTCACTGAACTCTGAATATACCAAGCCACTCAACACAGGGTCAACTGCGAACCATATGATGTGTGAATGTCTCAACAAAGATGTTAGGGGAAATAAAGGGGGCAGAGGGACCAATTTACTGCTATGGTCTAATGGGCAGCAGCTGGAAGCAGAGGGTTGTGACACTGGGTCAAGCTGGAGTGGGGACAGGCCTGTGCTGCTGGGATGCTGGTTCACCGCTGGGAGAACCCTTAGTTCATATTTGAAGCCGGGGGTGGGGGGATGTCACGGCTTGACTGGTACCCAGATCCAAGGACCCTCACTGCCAGAGCTGGAAGAGGCTGATGGGGGGGGGCGCTTTCTCTCAGCTGGCCCTTTGCTGTTGCTGGGCTGGATATGAGCCATGCTGTCTGAGACCTGGGACCTCAAGAGTTTGCCAATACAAGGCAAGGTCTGTCTGTAAGAACTCTAAAAGTAGCTGAGTGGTGGTGGTGCACGTCTTTTGATCATAGCTCTCAAGAGGCAGAGGCAGATCTCTGTGAGTTCGAGGCAGCCTGGTCTACAGAGTGAGTTCCAGGATGGCCAAGCCAGTGCTGTTTCACAGAGAAGCCCTGTCTTGGAAACCCAACCAACCAACCAACCAACCAACCAACCAACCAACCAACCAATCAAACAAACAAAACTTCTAAAAGTAGGAACTTCTTGACCTATGGCAACAAGTGATTTAACAACTATGTATTCTTACTAACATAACAACTTTATTAAGTCTTCATTCCTGTACACACATATGTACACATGCAAACACTGTTTCTGCTTTCCCCACAGAATTTCAAGGTCCTTTTCTCCCCCAAAGCCTGAAGCCCTGGGCCCCATGCAGTGGATAGCATGGGGCCCAGGGCATGCACACCTGTGCATTCTCTAGAACCCAAGACTGCCATCTGCCCCAAGAGGGTGCCCCACAAGCTCTGTTCAACAACCCCTCCTCACACCTTAGGTATACAGTGACAGACTTTCCTCTGATCTCAGAGGGCCTGCTGTGTTCTCCACTGCCCCGCCCCTCCATCACACTACCCCCATATCTTTACTCCATTACCATACCCTGAAGGCTCTAGTAATAGAGCTGAGTGGTCTTGGGTCCGAGCTGCTGGGATCAGGTGGCTGCAGTCCATGAAGAATCACATACCACAGCCCACACAGACTGGCTGCCAGCACTCAGAATGCTGGGAGCTCAGGATTTCACACGCCACAGCCCTCCCACAGACTGGCTGCCAGTACTGTAGCTCAGTGTTTCTCCCGTCTCTTCCTGCTTCTTAAGTTTTGCATTCCCCATTTCTATCCTGACTCTTGCTACAAAACTGATCTGAGAAGACTTCTGGGTATATTTGGCATGCAGTTGCCTCCCCCACAGGGCAACAGATCCGCTTGTGAACGAGCCTCCAGCTGCTCCCACCCTAGCCCAACAAAGCTCTCCAGGCTAAGCGCTGGCTTCTTCATAATGCTCGATCCACAGGCTGCTCCCCTCCCAGGAAAGCAATTCCTCTGTCCAGACCTCACCGCTCAGGCTCTTGGGGTTTTTCTGCAGTCCAGAGCAGCAGCCTCATAACTCAGATTATCATGGTGGCTAATTTTTCATCCTTGTTGTTTTATAAGCTTCTTGGTGGCCAAGGCTGTGTCAGGAAAGTCATTCTTTAATCTCCAATGCCAGATGTAGAGTAGGTACAGAATAGATCCTCCAGGAATGAGTGGCCCACTTGGCCATGAGCTCCTGGAAGCAGGCTGTGGATTCCTGTGTGACGAGGGCCAGGCATTCATATTTCATATCAAGTAAAAGGGGGACTGCCTACAGGTCAAAACCAAATGTCTACATTACTTTTTCTGAGGTCTTGCTATGTTGCCCACACTGGCCCTGAACCCCTGGGTTCAGGAGCTCAAGTCTCAGGCCGCAAGCGCTGGGACTTGAGGTATACACCACTCTGTCAGACTTAGAGATCCACATCTCAAAGGCAGGCACTTCCCACACACACACATACACACTAGTACAGCACACATCCTCTTAGGCACAGCATGGAGAGGCCCTAGCAGGGAGCCTGCTCTTCTGTGGCTGGTCTCCGTGGCTCCAAGCTGTCCCAGCCAGGGTTCTTCTCAAGCTCCCAGAAGAAGAGTTGCCGCTGGAGGCTCCTCAGGTTCTGCAGGGCCTCGGGAGACAGAGGCTCAGCTGCCTCGTCCAGTTCTAGTTCTTCCTCCTCTGTGAGCCAGTCAGGGGGCTGAGGGGAGCTTCTGGAGATGTAGCCCTGGTCCGACTGCACTGACTGCCGCTGCTCCTCCTCAGTGGGTGTGCAGGGGTCCTTGAGGGCGGGCCTCCCCCAGCTTTCCTGGGCCTGTCCGCTCAGACTCCGCTGCAGTACCGAGAGCATCAGGCCTTCCAGCTGCTCCCTTGCATCACCGTGGAAGTGGTCAGGTGATGTCACTGGAGTGCTACAGAGCGGGGAGTCATCTGAATCCACGGGGAGGCAGAGGACGCTGTTCCTCTGGGCCCCCAGCAGTGGGCAGGCTTCGTCCTCTGCCAGGGTCAGCTGGGTAGCAGCTCCACCGCCATCCGGAAGAGGAACAGGTACCACCACATGAGCTGCAGGCACCTGCTCTGTTGGCTGCACCGTGGTTTGGAGGGTCTGAGCCACGAGCTCTCTCTGTGGCCGCGGCTGCAAGTCAAGCTTTGCCCCTCCACTTTCTCCCTCACTGACACAGACATTTACCCCCAGGCAGCCCTCAGAAGGCTCCCGTACCAGCGGCTGCTGTTTGACAATTCTTCCCCGCGGTGGTAACAGTGGGTCTTCAAACACTTCTTCATCCAGAGATGGCAGGTCTTGGTCACCTGCCAAGCAGAGGTTCTCCCGCTCAAACCAATCAGGGTACTTGGTTTGCCACTCCTGGAACCTAACCACAGCCTCCTTGAGCTGCCAGCCACTAGGGCTCTGCAGGTAATTTTCCCCGGCAAGCTCTTTGACATGGTGCATCCGGCCAGGTTCAAACATCTCTAGATCCTGGATTCGGAAGTAAACCTCCTCAAATTTGTCCATGAGTGGGTACCTGGAGGTGATGTTGAAGAGGTCGGGGACATCGCTCTCACTACTGATGCCACTGAAATAGCAAACAATGTAGGTGCCAAAGCAGGCTGGCCTCTTGAAGTCTGGCAGTATCATGTTCATGGCTGCCGTGAAAAGGTCCCCAGCAGGCTTCCAGTGGTCACACCGTAGCTGGACAGCAGGCTCGGCCCAACCCAAGATGGCCTTCCACTTGGCCTGGGTGCCTCGGGAGCACAGGATGAGGATTTTGGAGTTGCTTTCCACCATTTCCTGCTTCTGTCTGCTGACCCAAGTCATGACCCCCACCTCTGAGATAGCCTGCTCTTCCAGGAGGTCGAGGGCTACTTCGGTGCCACAGGCAGTGATGAGGAACTGGGCAAACTTAAGGACCACCTCCACATAGAGAGGGTGATCAGCCGAGTAGACAATCCAGACTTTCCTGGGCTTCAGGGGCGGGGGAGTCAGGCCAGTTCCAGGGGAGAAGCCTGTGAGAGAAGAGAGAATGCACGCTGAGTCTCACTTGCTGGGCAGACCCCTCCAGGGCAGCGGTTCTCAAGCCTTTGGGGTCCAATGACCCTTTCACAGATATCCTGCATATCAGATATTTATATCACCACTCAGAACAATAACAAAATTATCGTTATGAAGTAGTAACAAAAATAATTTTATGGTTGGGGGATGACCATAAATAACATAAGGAACTGTTTTAAAGGATTGAAGCATTAGGAAGGTTGAGAACCACTGCTCTAGATCCAGCCTATGAGCTACCTGCACCAAAGGCACAGTTTGGTTTTCTGTCTTCAGCGAACAGCCTTCTGGGTAGGCCATGCTACTGCACTGCCTTGCAATGTGTGAGAAGTCAGTGAGGAGCCTGCCTGTATGAAGAAGCCTCAATCCCTCTCCTTCACCCTGAACTCCCCCCCCCCCCAAGTTCCATCTGGTTGTTGGCCGATACTTTAATCATTTTAAACGAAAAAAGGGCAAAAAGCTGGATGTGGCGGTGCACCCCTTTAATCCCAGCACTTGGAAGACAGAGGCAGGAGGATCTCTATGAGTTCTGGGCCAGCCTGATCTACAACATAAGTTGTAGGCCAGCCGAGGCTGCATAGTGAGACCTCCTAAATCAAGATAAATAAAAAGACTAAAAGGTAAAGGATCTAGCTATGGAAGAGAACCCCTGCTCAGGTAAGAGTGTTCTCTCTGCAAAATGTTCACCTTGCCTTCTTTGTCTAAGCGATTAGAAAAAGGAATTCTGGACCCTGTGTTCGGGGTACCTCAAAAGCCCTCTCTGCATGAGGTGGGGTGGGGCCTTCTGGAAGTCTGGCCAGAGACACACCCTGCCCATCTACCCCAAGAAGCCATGGCCAGGCTTTAGAGAGAAAGGCAGAGCACCTCAGAGCGAGCTACTAACCGTTGCATTTGGAGTCATCACCAGGTTTCTCATGATCAGACCCTGCAGGGAAAAGAAACATATCGAGTGGCTTAATCATTCCAGAGAGAAACAGGGGCCCATTCCCAGGTGTCAGATGGAAGAGCAAAGGAGAAGCCCCTAGTTGGTGACCACAAAGACATTTCTGGGCCTCTGCATTTCTGAGTCATGCAGCTGTGTGGGCGTGAACCCCAGGCAGCTATCCCAGGAAGTCGTATGAACAGGGGGCTACAGCTACTAAGGCTTCCAACACTCCAGTTTTTCTTTGAGGAATGGGTCTGTGGTGGTACATTCTAGAGACTGTGTGGGAAGTGCTGGGCCCCTCAGTCAGCTGGGTCTGGATTATCTGTGGTAATCACCAAGCTGGGTGCTCCTTGGCCTTTCTTTACAGTTCTGCTTCCCAGGCCTCTGAGAGAAGACTCCACTGCAGGGGAGGGCAGTCCACCCAGGAAGCAGGCATCTTACAACACTGCCTGCCAGAAGTAGCCCCCATGGCCATTGCAACATTTCCTCTTGGTGTTCTTGAGGTGAGGAAGGGGAACCATAGTTTTAGGTAATTGTTCCCCTTGGCTGGACACGTGACCATGAGGATTATTTTTCTTTGGTCCAGGGAGGGGACCCAGGGCCCAGTGCATATTATGCAAGTGCCCTAGCTCTAAATTACATCTTGGCTCCTGAAGAAGAGACTTAGAATCTTAACTTCAATCCTCATTCTTTGGGCCTTTGCCCAGAATTGGCAAAAGACTGTCTGATGACTAGTGAAACGTAACGGCAGCTGGGGCATTACCATGAGATGTCACATGACCCTCCCCAGAATCTTGTGGACCCCATAATTCAAGATGAACGAACCATAATCCATATGAGTGTTGGCAAGAGTAGAAATAGCTTCCCAGATGACTGAAGACACATTTTGTCATAGGACAGGAAAACTTAGCCCTTCAACCTGTCAACCCACACCCTCCTGATTAAAACTCTGCCAGCAGAAGGGTGTATGGAGAATGAACTCTAGTTCTTGGAGGCATCCTAGCTCACAGAGAAGGAAACAGAATCTAAGGTAAGTCATTACAAAGCGGGTAATGAGCAAGTGTTTAGGTTCCTGGCAGCTGAGATCACCAGGTCATATAACAGAAGCCACATCTGTGTTTAATTTGGCATTAAAGGGTGGAGTGAAGGGTACCCCTTAAACACAGCATGGGGGGGTCTAGACTGTGAGACTGGGGCAAGAAGGGAGGTCACCATGAGCAAGAGAAGAATGGGAAGCCCCGCCCACTCCTTACCAGCCAGCCTCCGGGTCATGCAGATGATCAGCAGGATGACAGAGCCCACTAGCAGAATGGCGATCACTGTGATAAAGCCATACACCCACAGGGGAATAGAGTCTGTGACAAACACAACAGTGTGAGTCCGGGAGGGGCCCCACACACCCCAGCCCAGGCTCTGTCTATACCAAGCTACACTAATGATTTCACCCGTTGGCTGTCTGTGGGTGTAGAGTAGTCTGCCTTCCTGGATTGGCTCAGGGGTCAGCTGGGACCTCATGTGGTCCCTTGGGAATGACCTTGACTGTAGGAAGGACTTACCTGCAAGGGAAACTGTAATAGAACAAAAGGAAATAGGGACAGGGTTACTCTTAATGATTAACAGTCACCCAAGCCCATCACAGATGCCCACTGACGGCCTTAACTTATCATAGATGCCCACTGATGTCTTAATTCATGGGAGACACCACAGAGGGCCTTAACCCTGCAGTCAGGTACAGCTACACTTGGTGTAACCTTGTCCCTGGAGTCCCTTCAGCTGAAGCTTTAAGTGACAACGTTATTCCCATTGGGGCCAGGGTTCCTTCCACCACCTCTGTCCCCTTTTGATCTGCATATGGCAGGGGCTGAGAGCCAAAAACATGTGGGCTCAAGTAGGAACCTGGGGAAAATTATTATCTGTGCCTCAATTTTCTCATATATGAACTTGGCATGTTAAAGCACTTCTGCGGTACATAATTCCAACTTTGTGAGATTAACTATCTCATTTTTCACCCAAGGAAAATGAGTTGATAAGAAAAGTTAAACACTGCTTGGTGGGTGGTGGCACATACCTTTAATTCCAGTGCTAGGGAGGAAGAGACAGGCCAAGATCTAAAACTATAGAGAAATCCTGTCTCAAAACAAACAGCTGGGCGGTGGTGGTGGTGCACGCCTTTAATCCCAGCCTTTAATCTCTGAGGCCAGTCTAGTCTACAAAGCTATATAGAGAAAAAGGTTAAGCCCTTTGCCTTCCGGTGAAGAGGTATTGAAAGGCAGCAAGGAGTCCAACCTGGGAGTTTCAATCTGCACTCTACCTTGGCCTCCAGCATTTCAAAGCTGAATCTTCCTCTCCCCACACAGACTCCTCTCCACGGACAACCTTCCTCCACTCTAACCCCATACACACCAATGACAGTGGTTTCTCTCCTACCTGAGGCCTTTGTGATCTCTGGGCAGTGCACAGTCACAGCATGTCTCAAGCAGTCATTCAGGCAGCTGTTGAAGAAGGGCTGGACCTGGGGAAGCAGAAGGGTGAGGAAGATGCCCATCCTACCAGAAGGGCGACCTGTGAGTAACAGACCCTGGCTGGCTGTTGAGGTGCACATGGTAGTGTGTATCTATGTCCCAGCTGCTCAGGAAGCCTAGCTAGTCTGCTCAAGGCCAGCCTGGGAAACACAATAAGACTATTTCAACAGGCCTATGCTCCTTCTTTTCTTTTTAAAGATTTATTTATCTTATGTACATATGAGTGCTCTGTCTGCATTTACACCCTTATACCAGAAAAGGGCATCAGATCCCACTGTAGATGGTTGTGAGCCACCATGTGGTTGCTGGGAATTGAACTCAAGACCTTTGGAAGAGCAGCCAGTGCTCTTAACCACTGAGCCACCTCTCATCCTGCTCCTTACTTTTCAATGTGGTTGTTCTACCATGAGGAGAAAGGCAGCCAGAAACTCCTAGCCAGTGGCGGCTGGAGCTGCAGCCCTCCTGCCTGCCTCATCCCTCTGAATGGAAAGAAGGCCACTTGTGCATGCTCACCTGCACATGGTGGTTGCAGCACCAGTTAGACTTGCTTAGAGTGAGTGTGACGTTGACTCGCTGGTGGAATTCTTCTTGTCTGGGCTGGAGAGAAAGACAGAATCTGGGTAAGAGTAAGAACAACCCCTGGCTGGACCAAACCCATACATAGGTGCATCCCCACGTTCAGCACCGACACCATGTCCAAAAGAAAGGCTGAAGGGGAGATTAAGGAGATAAAGCCAAGGCGAAGGACGAGACACAGAGAAGATCTGCAGAGTTGTCTGCTAAACCTGCTCCTCCAAAGCCAGAGCCCAAGCCTGAAAAGGCCCCTGCAAAGAAGGGAGAGAAGGGGACAGCAGATGCTGGCAAGGATGCAAATAATCCTGCAGAAAATGGACAGCCAAAACAGACAAGGCACAGAAAGCTGAAGGTGCTAGAGATGCCAAGTAAGATGTGTGCATTTTGATAACTGTGTACTTCTGGTGACTGTACAGTCTGAAATATTATTTTTTATCAAGTTTTTAAAAATGCAGAATCTTGCTTTACTTTTTTTTTAAAGCTATGTTGTTAGCACACAGAACACTTTGTTGTTTTGGTTGCGGGGGAGGAACATGTGTCACTAACAAAATGTCTCCTAAGCTAGACGGATGATGGTTGATGGAAAACATCTCTCCTTGACAATTTAAAGGTCTCCTCTTAGCTCAGGAGAGACTCCTGGTGTTGGCATAGGTGGCCACCATGGCACAGAATGCCTTGTGTGGGAAAACTCTAAATTCATTTTTTTATATCATCTTCCCCCATACCATCAACATAGACTTAACTCCCTTAAAACCAGAGACCTGTTGGAAATTGACCCCCTAAAATTGGTTGCTGGTCTATTGGGCAATCTGGACTTTGCAGTGATAATTATCCTCAAAGGAGCATCGGTTCCTTTTATAGACAAGATTGTGGATCTTCAGAATGATAATTCTGCCATTTTCATTTTGTTTCCTGAGAGTCAGGGTTGGCTTGTGAAAAAGTTGTTAAACAACATCCTTAATGTGAAATGTCAACCCTCACTCTAAACTCTTCCCTTTTCAAAGCATTAAGACTTCACCGGGTTTTATAGTGGCTTTCTGATTTTGGTAGTGCATACAAGAAGGGCATTTGGAAGTTCTTGTAAACTGTTAATGATTGTCTGCCCATGTCCTGCCTGAAATACCACGACTGTTTATGGAAAGTATCTTTAATAAAGCTGGATAAGGTTTGGCTTGGAAAAAAAAAAAGAGCTTGCGTTTGTGCTGGGAACTGTACTGGTGCCCCTTACAAGTGCCAGGAAGAAAAGGCTGTTCTGATTTCTGGTCCTGAACACCTGGTATTTTGCAGGGTGACTAGCCTGTGGTGAGTTCATCCACACATCTAGCAATGGGCATTTCCCTCTTTGCTCTGGCTGCTGGGGACTGGGGCACCAATCTGTGTATGTGTGTCAGGTGTGCAGCAAACACAGCACACTTTCTGCTCCCATTCGGCCTCATCGTGCCTGTTTCCTTTCTGTCTTAATCACCTCATTTCTTTTTACAATGCCAAATAATTTTTGAGAGAAAGTATAACAAATGCAGGAATCAGGCAAGAATGTGGGAACGTGAAAAACAGGGAATGGCTAGGGTGTGGAAAGTATGGGTGGGACAGGGAGCTGGGCAAAACTGTCACTACTTTACCAGCTGAGGATTCAGTCACAAGGAGACCCTCAAAACAGTTACCTAGCAGGAAACGAAGACAGAGGAACAACCCCGGCAGACAGTTTTTCTACATCTTTTCAATTGCAATCCTACATGAGCCTCACCACAAGGCCTGGCAAAAGGAGAACTTAAACTTCTGGGTTCAGATATACAGTCTAAAGCTTACTCAGCCATTTTACCTATGTCATAAACTATTTTCAACTAACTACAAAAGCAGGCGGGCGGATCTCTATGAGTTCCAGGTCAACCTGGTTTACAAAGTAAGTTCCAGGACAGGCCCCAAAGCTACACAGAGAAACTCTGTCTTGAAACTCCAAAAGAAAAAAAAAAAAAAGATGCCAGACCCCTCTGCCTCCTGAGATGGAAAGGCAACGGCCAAGTGCACCTGAGTGAAATGGGCTCTGGGAACAGGGTTAGCTAGGACCAGCAGGAAGGAAGCAGAGAATTTGAGAGTATTTTAATCTATGTCTCAGGAGGTAAGAAATACAGGTACCGCAGGTATTTGCTGGATGTCATCAAAGCAGTGTTGGTCTCCTGAGTATGGGAAACTACCCAGCAGGATCTGGTAGGGGGTGGATTCATTCCACAGGGTGAAGCTCACACGCAGCTGCTGGGTGTCCAAAGTCTCCACAGTGATATTGGGATCCCATAGGCTGCCTGCCAAGGGCACAGGGTAGGTTGGGAATTAGGAGGGTAGGTGTGTCCATGGGCATGTGTATCATGCAAGTTAGCATACCCAGGGCAAGGTATCCGAGGCCAGCCAGTTACCTGAGTTCACACACGGTGTGGTCATCTTCATCCTGGGGTCCTCGCAATCTGCCAACCCCAATAAAAGAGAAATCAGTAAGTCTCTGCCTTTAGTGAGTTTGTTCTGGAAGATCTGGGGGTTTCACTTTGTTTTTCTGAGATAGGCTCACTCTACATAGCCCTAGCTGTCCTGGAACTCACTACAGACCAGGCTGGTCACAAAGATCTACCTTCCTCTGCCTCCAATGTGCTGGGATTAAAAGCATCCTGGGATCAAGACTGCTGTGCTTCTGCAGAGCCTGTTCAAAGACAGCCTGCTCCAGGCCCAGACAGCTGCCCCTGGCCAAAGATCCCATCAAACTGGGGCAGCCTGGCTATCTGAGGGAACCCCCTGACTCAAGCATATTCCTCCGGAGCTCAGAGCTTACTTCATGTGACCAGAAATCCCTGGTTTACTCCAATGTTCTCCCATACACATCTTGTTGCCCAGAGTAACCTTTGCCTTTTCGTTCCTCCTGACCTCTTCGGCCTCTCTGACCTCTCCACACAGCTACTAGGTTCTCATTCAGGCTGGGTGCCAAGAGTCAGCATTTATTCTTTCATTAATCTCCCCCCCCCATAGAACTGAGGATCAAATCCAGGCAGGCATCTTGCCACCGAGCACCTGGGCAGTTCCCAGGGGCAGGGGAGGAAGGGAGAACAGTCATTTACGAAGTCATCTATTGCGCCTCCTGTGTGGATGTGGCCCTGGGCACAGCACATACAGTGGAAATGACTGCTCTTTGCAGATTGTTTCCATAGCAGAGACCATTGAAAGTGGATTGACAACACGCAGCATCATGGGAGAGTAAGAGGATGTGTAAAGGAAGCAGGTGAGTGGATGTAAGTGCATGCATGAGTGTGTGCTTCTGGGTGAGGAGTTGTCGCCATCTGTAGCAAACATTTCTTGGGCTGGACTGTGACTAAGTGGTAAAGTGTTTGCTCAGTGTGTACAGCCCTGAGTTCTCTCCCCATAGTCATAAAACAAACACACAAACAAACAAACAAGACAAAATTTCTTGACTACTACTAGGTACAATGAGAAATGATGTCAGCGGTGCCAAGGTTCTGGGAAGGCAGAGACAGAAAGTGACACAGAAGGTTATAGGTTAGCTGGTGGTGACATAGACAGATAGCCTGGGCTGGTGGGTGGGGCAGGAGAGTAGGATTCGTAGTGTGGGTGCCAGCCAGGTGCAGGTGGGGTGTGGGGGTGAAGGAAGTGAGGGAAGCCGAGTCCAGGCTGAGTGCACAGGCCACAACCCTTCCAGGATCTGACATTTTCTGGGATGGAAGTACTTCTCTGCATAGAGGCTGCCAACACACCCCTGGGGTCTCTCTACACATTTAATGTTGTGCAACAGAGGACAGATGCTGCCTTCAAGGCAGAGAGGTTTCGTCCTCAGCTGGGAGCACTCCCAGGCCTGGATCTGCAGCCACTGCGGAGCATCTTGGGTTCTGCTGTCTGAGCCCCCCCCCCACCTTCTTCACGAAGAGCGCAGGGCCAAGCGGACACCTGGAAGGGCACTCTTACCAGGCACAGAGATGATCTTGGACTTGTGGTTTGGGTCCCCATCAGGGATGGGCTTGGGCAGGTGGTGAACTGTCACCTCATACTCCTGGCCAGGATCTACCACAAAGTGGCTGAAGGAAAACCGCCACTAGGGACAGGGGAAGAAGAGGGGATGAGATGGGTCACACACACCCTCACCCACTTATCGCCAAAGTCCCAGTTTCACCTCCCCACAGTCAACTAAAAACAAACAAGCAAAAGGATAATCACAGAACCCCAAACTAGAGGCATGATATCTGCGTCCTTTCTACCTGTTTAAAACAATCCATCAATAGACGGCCATGCCACTCACATGTGGGACACACACACACATGAATGAACTGGGCTAACAGAATACCTGGGTTCCTCCACTATGAATTGGAAGGAAGGAAGGAAGGAAGGAAGGAAGGAAGGAAGGAAGGAAGGCAGGCAGGCAGGCAGGCAGGCAGGCAGGAAGGAAGGAAGGAAGGAAGGCAGGAGAAAGGCAGGCAGCTAGGTCCAGTGGGAGGCATAATAATAAGCAAGGATGGGTGTGCTAGGATCTAACCCTCATGATGGTTCACAACAGGCAGCCATGTTGAACTCATCCTTCCAATTAGATGTACCTTTGAGGACACTGTCATTTAGGAACACAGTCCAGTCTGGCTGCCTTCTTACCCGCCTATAATGATGCTGCAGCTTGGTCAGAAACTCAAATTCAACACAAAGCTGTTCGTTGGTGTTCAGCTGCAGGATGGACAGCTCTGCTCCTTTGAGGTACAGGATGCTGGCTGCGGGCCAGGGAGGAGAGGGGCACACAGATGCAGAGCAGCCCCACCCCCCAGGGTGTAGACTTCCCCATCTGCTCTTACCTCACTCCCCACTTCCCCACTTACAGAAAGTACCTTCTAGTGGGATAAGGACAAGGGACACTCTATACTAGGAAGTGGCCAGAGGCCTGGCAGCAGGGCACAGTGTCAATGACAGGGACCGCCTCATTCTCCCAGAGACTGCTGCAGTGAGCATCTAGCACACCAGCTAGGGACCTAGAGAGCACTTGCTGCCATCTCCACAGATCTGGGGCTCACTCCGTTCTGCAGTCATTCACTCCTAAAGAGGTTTGGAGTATGTTTTAAAAAGTGCTGGCTCCTAAGCTAAGAGAAAAAGCAGGTGGCAAACTGCTACCATTTTTTTTTTCCTAGTACATAGTTGGAATTATTTATATAATTAACCACTTGCCTTTTTCTTTAATGCAGAGGAAGGCCTCTCCTAAAGACACTGTGAGTAGAACATACTCTGTGGGCACACATCTAGCACTGGAAAAGCACTGGACATGTAAATGATGGAGCTTTCCAGCATCAAACATGAGTCAGTAGTGGCGTCTTCCAAGAGCAAACCCAAGCCCTGGCTGCTGTGGCCACTCACCGTCTGTCTGCAGGGTCCATTCAATGTGTAACACAGGGACCAGGTCTCCGTGCTGGGTGGAAGAGAAGTTCAACTGGACATGGATGTGTTTGGGGGAAGAGGGAGTCAGGTTTTGATGGTGGATCCAGCTGTCATGCAGGCAGGTACCTGGCCAGGAGAACAGCTATCAGAGACTGCACCCAAGACCCTGAAATCCTCACGGGGTCCTGGGTGCTGCTACAAGTTCCCAGACAGTTCACAGTCTGCGGATGCTAGAAACCTTCCAGGTGTGACCTTGGCAAGCTCTCTGCCCAGCCTTCTTTTTCCTAATGCTGGTCTGGAATGCCCACAAAGCTCTGGGTCTCAAGATCCTTTGGGGAAAAGGGTTTTTGAAAAGAAATAGGGGCACAGGAGAGAGGGGCAGTAATGAGAGCTTCTCATTTGTCTTGGCCCTCAGTTAACACACTTGAAGGGTGTGTCCCATTATTTAAACAAACAACCAGGGGCTGGGAATTGTGGCTCAGTGCTATTTGTCTACTGTGTCTGAGGGCCTGAGTTCTATATCCATCAAAGGAAAATACTTTTCATAGACCAATAAACAAACAGGCAAAAAAATTAAAAAAACAACAAGAAAAGCCATCACCATGCATGCCTGTGACAAACTGAACGGATCAGGTACAAAGTCAGGTGGACTAGGGTACCACCCCAGGCAACATCCAAAACCCAGGTGGCAGCTGGGTACTGCCTGGCTTTTGCATAACAAATGAAAGGTTTCCACAAGAAGCACTGGTGCCTATATCCAAGATGGCCCCAGGATGGTGACAGCACCCACCGCGAGCACACAGGAGGCCCCTGCAGAAGTGAGCAGGAGGCCCTCACTTCATCAGCAGAGCAGCAATAAGTGGAACAAAAAAGAGGACTTACTATTCTTGACTCTGCAGCTCAGCCCCTGTGGGAAGGAAGCAAGTGGTGATTACAATGAGAAAGAGCAGGCTCACTGTGGCCCAGCCCGCCTGTTACACCCCTCGAGAACAGTTGGTTCACACAGCCCTCCTGCCTCCTCACAGCACACTCTCCTCACAGAGAGCAGCTCTGCCCTCAGGGAACATAAGTCTCCTGCACGTTTTTCTCCTGTCTGTTCGGTCGAGGGGACGATGTGTGGTGGGTAGACAGCAAACAGAATTGGAGGCTTTTTTACTTATTTTTTTGGCTTCTGAGACAGGGTCTCACTCACTATGTAGCTTGGCTGGCCCATGGCTTCCTATGTGGACCTGGTTGACTTGGAACTCACAGAGATCAGATTGCCTCTGGCTCCCTGATTGCTAGAGATAAAGGTAACCAAGCAGGGCTAGAATTGGAGGCTTTTTGAATAACTGTTATGAGCTGGGAATTTAAAAAATAACAAAAACAAAATAAAGGCAAATAAACAAAACAGAGAGGGTTTTCCTAAGAGGTGAAGGGTCAAATTTACATTTTGTTTGTTTTTTCGAGACAGGGTTTTTTTTTTTTTTTTTTTTTTTTTTTGTGTAGCCCTGGCTGTCCTAGAACTCATGTTGTAGGCCTCAGACTCAGAGATCTAGTATGCTCACACACACCTTACTAAAGCCTCCACTTAAAATAAAATCAGAGTGGCCTAACACCAAGTTCACAGCAGCGTTGGGAATGGCCCAGGGCAGGGTGTGATGTGGGAGGTGGTGAAGGCGGCCCTTCACAGGCACTGGGTAGGGTTTCCACGGAGCCCCGAGAGAGTCACTCCAACAGTGCCCAAAGAGCCGGCTGGTCTCCCCAGCAGTGTCTGACACAGCTGCTGAGGAATGAATCGCCTCTAGAGCCACTCTACACTCCCTGCCGGCAAGGCAACAAGGAGAGACCCTAGAATCCAGGCTCTGCCACTTCTGGATCTTTGAAATTCTCAGATTGGCCCAACCCATGCTGCGGCCAGAGACAGATGCGAAGCTGAAGGAAGGGCTGGATAAGGGGTGCAGGGTGACGCATTAGGTGTAGGATGGGCGCTGACTGACACCTGCCTCCCTGGAGCGGGCAGTGTGCAGGACTCAGGGTCATGTCCTGATGTCATGTCATGTTAGGATCCATTCTGCATCTGCTATTTTATCTGCGTCCTGCTTGTTTGGGACACCAGTTCACATGCTCTTGGGGTCCAGACTTCTTGTCCCTGAACCCGTTCTTTGTGATTAATTGTCCTCCACTGTCCCTGGGCTCACACCACAGCCTGCCACATGTTCCTTCCAGGTTTACAATGAGACCCATCTGGCTGTCTCTGCTCACTGTGACAATGCCATACTCTCTCCTGATTAGCTCCTTTCTTCCCATGTGGGACTGCTGTGAACTGGACACAGAGGGACAGAAACTGGCCTGGAGACCAGGGACTCGTACAAAAACGGCAAACATATATACCCCATGTGGGGTAACTCACCACGAGCTACTTAAAACCCAGGGCGGGATGGCACCCATCCTGACAAGAAGGGGAAGTGGGAGGGGTCAGGAAACGCTTGGCCGAGGGCAGAAACAGCTTGATTACTCAAGTGCTACTCTTTCAGTTTTGTCTGTTGATAGTTGGATCATGATCATCTATGAAAGGGAGTGGGGAGAAGCTACCAGAAAAAGTTTTATCAAAGTCCACCTGTCGCCTCACCAGAGACAACAGCTGCCTTGCTGTAACAATTCTAAACTGAAAATCAAAGAAGGGTGAGGGAGATCAGGAGGAGGTGATGTCTCCTATTACCAGCAGCGAAGTAAAAGGCACATTGCAAAGATTAGGGCCTCAGAGGGAACAAATGTGGCCATCAAAAGGAACTGCCTTTGGCGAACAGGCTTAGGTGTGATGTAGGGAGCTATTGTTTTTAAATATCTCAGTACAATTTTTAAAAAGGAACCCCTATATTACTTGATAAAAATGAATTTAAAAATGGAAGTTTATGATGTTAATCTAAACAAAAGATTTTAAAATTAGGTAAGCAAATGAAAACATTATTTAGGGAAGGAAATAGGGAACTTTTATAATGAAATAACTATTTTATGTGTATGCGTGTTTCGCCTGCATGTATATCTGGGTGCCACATTCATGCCTGCAGCCTGCAAAGTCAGAAGATGGAGTGGGACCCCCTGGAACTGGAGTTACAAGAAGTCACGAGTCACCATGTGGGTGCTGGGAATTGAACACGGGTCCTCTGGAAGAGCAGTCAGTGCTCTTACACTGAGCCGTTTCTCCAGCCCTTGCTTATTCTTTTCTTATCATTTAGTTCCAATATAGAATCTACACTAATGTGTGTGGGACTGGGGTTTGCATGTGCACATGTGTGTCTCACTCTCTCTACCTTACTTATTTTTTTAAGACAAGGTCTCTCACTGAATCAGAAACTCATCGTCCAAGCTGGCCAGTGAGCTCCCAGAACCTACCTATTTGTTTTCTAGCACTGGGGTTATAGGCAGAGCTGCCACACCCAGTTTTTTATGTGGTTGCTAGGGACCTGAACTCAGGCCTTCATGCTTGCTAATAGCAAGCATTTTGCCCACAGAGTCATTTCCTCAGCCTCTGCAATTTTTTTCATTTGTATTTATTGTGTGCGTGAATGCATGTTGGCACACATATGGAGAGGTCAGAAGGCAACTATCAGGAGTTGGTTCTTTCCTTTCACCCTGTGGACCCCACAGATGGAACTCACCTCATCAGGCTTGGTGGCAAGTGCCTTTACCCACTGAACCACAACAGTCCCTGTAATCTTATTTGTTTGTTTGTTTGTTTGTTTGTTTTTTGAGACAGGGTTTATCTGTGCTGCCCTGCCCCCTATAATCTTCTTAATAATATAAAATGCATTTGATATCATCTTTGGCCACTAATAACATAAATCTTGGTCTGTCCAATAATTTTCTCTCCAGCTGACTCCTTAACCCTTATAAGAATCCTATTCCTGGAAGTACAGGTATCATTCAGTAGGAAATGTTCATGTACAGTCTGGTTCAATCCCACAGCACACATGCAAGCCTGGACACCACCCCAGATACCAACACCAATTAACCACCCATTCCCCCAAAATAGAAAGACAGTATCATTCATCACTGGGCAGTGGTAGCTCATTCCTTAATTCCAGGACTTAGGAGGCAGAGGCAGTCGGATCTTTGAGTCAGAGGCCAGTCTGGTCCACAGATTTGAGTTCCAGGGCATCCAGGGCTACACAAAGACATCCTGTCTCAAAAAACCAATACCAAAAAAAAAAAAAAAAACAAAAAACAAAACAAACAAACAAAAAAAAACCCACTTTTACCAGCCACTTCCTCATGAATGGCTTTGTTAGCTATCTTGTAGAAATTAGAGAATATTAGATTGATGAATAGCTAGGATAGCAGCTAGTACTCACTGAACTGCCCTTGTGTAATCATTGTTTTTAATCATTGTACCTTAAGCTGCGATGCTGGCAGCCCCTTACCACATCTTTGGCTGCAGTAAGAGGCTACACAAAGCCACTGATGGTACCATCCAGGTCTCTGTGTGTCTAGACAGTGATGTTCACATGAGGGTAGTCACCTACCAAGACATTTCTCAGAACATCTCTCCACACAGGTGATTCACATCTGTGGCCCTGGGAAATCAGCCAGGTGGCTCCAGGTCCCAGAGCTTCAGTGTGCTTGCTTTGTTCCAGAACCATGTTCCCAGCACTGTTACCCTGACTCCCGGTAAAGGGATGTTTACAACAAACAGGCCCCTCCTCTGTACTCAAAGCAGAAGTGAAAGACTGGTTAGCTCTGGGCATTGAGCAGCATCACCAACAGCCTGACACTGCACACCCCAGTGTGCAGCCCAAGGTCTTCCCAGACAGCGCCAATGCTGATGCCTGTAAGGAGAGCGCCACTTCTGTTAGAGATGAGGACACAGCGCTGTAGAGCAAGGGATGCAGAGGCTTGCCTGGGGCCAGGTCTTCTGACTGGGCTCCCTGCTCCTGTTTGCTAGTTGCTAATTGATGCCAGGGTCTACCGGCAGATTAGCCTGACAAAGGCAGTGGGCAGCCAGGGTGAGATGGGGTCAGCATGAGCAGGACCAGCTCCCTGCTGGCAGAGTGGAGAACATTCACCATAGGAGTACCCACAGAACACAACTTTTTAACTTAGGAAAGAGTGGTAAGGCTGAGCACAGCTCCCGGCAACCGCAAGATAAGAGGGCAATGCCAAACAGTCATTCTACTACAAGTCAAAACCACAAGCACTCAGGAAAAGGAACTGATGAGGGTAACATACATACATCCTGTCTGTAGACAGTGTGAGCGCTCAGCTTGCAAACTCCCGGGAGCTGCTTGCTGGCTTTCCTTAATAAGAATGGCAGTTAGTCTGTGGTGGTGGTTTTCCAAATTACTCTCTGTATGTACAGTTAGTGTAACCACCTTTACCTTGTTATTCTTCTGAGATTAAAAAGGAAAACAAATCATTGTCAAAACGGTCAATGTCTAGTGATTATGTATCCACAGGCTGTAACGGGCAATGGCAAGCGATAAAGTGAGTAGAAAAGGCGGGGGGGGGGGGGGGGGGGATTGGAGAATGGCAGTTAATGGAGACCTAACTATGAGAAACACAGGCAGGCCAAGGGAATAAACTAGTCATGGTGTCATGGTGTCTCCAGGGTTGGTTTCTTGGGAAGAGTAGTCACCCCGGTTTTGAGGTGCTAATTCCAGGCAGCCAGAACAAGTGTACTGGCCTCAGTTACCACTGCCTGAAAAGCAGGGGGACCTCCTCTTTCTTCCTCAATTCTTTCATACTTTCATGCAACACATATTTACAGCCCCTAGGCTGTGCTTGCAGCGCAGAACAAGGAACAGAGCAGGTATGCTGAAGCCTCTTTCCTTCCGGTCATAGGAAGGAGTGACTGAGAGCTAAACCAATCAGTTTTCAACAGTCATTCTCTTTTGTTTAGAAAGTGGCAGGCTCCCTTTGAGATGTCTCATCCAATCCTCTCATGGTGGGAATAAACCACACTGTGTCCACTAAAGCTGTGTGTGTGAATGAGTGTGTGTGAGTGAGTGTGTGTGTGTGTGAGCATGTGTGTGAGTGAGTGTGTGTGTGTGAGCATGTGTGTGAGTGAGTGTGTGTGTGAGCATGTGTGTGAGTGAGTGTGTGTGTTGTGAGTGTATGTGTGTGTGAGTGTATGTGTGTGAGCATGTGTGTGAGTGAGTGCGTGTGTGTGAGCATATGTGTGAGTGAGTGTGTGTGTTGTGAGTGTATGTGTGTGTGAGTGTATGTGTGTGAGTGTGTGTGTTGTGAGTGTATGTGTGTGTGAGTGGATGTGTGTGTGAGCATGTGTGTGAGTGAGTGTGTGTGTGCTGTGAGTGTATGTGTGTGTGAGTGTATGTGTGTGAGCATGTGTGTGTTGTGAGTGTATGTGTGTGTGAGCATGTGTGAGTGAGTGTGTGTTGTGAGTGTGTGTGTGCTGTGAGTGTATGTGTGTGTGAGTGTATGTGTGTGAGCATGTGTGTGAGTGAGTGTGTGTGTTGTGAGTGTATGTGTGTGTGAGTGTATGTGTGTGTGAGCATGTGTGTGAGTGAGTGTGTGTGTGAGTATATGTGAGCATGTGTGTAAGTGTATGTGAGTGTGTGAATGTATGTGTACAGTGTGCATTTTCCTTTTTGCAGTTCTGGCGATGAAACCCTAGTTCTAGTCTCTTAAAAAGGACAAGCCAACAAGGAAGCTGCCAGCCTGTGGAGATGAGTTGTCTGTGAGCCAGCAAAGAGGAAGAAAAAGGAAGCCACAGAGAAATGTGGCCACCAGCACCTCTTCAAATAAAGTCAAACCCTTTAGGGGGCTGCAGAGGTAAGGGGCTCAGCATGAAAAGCAGCTGTCCCTCAGACAGGCAGGGTGAGATTCCTAGTGCCCACACGGTGGCTCTCAACTGTCTGCAACTCCAATTCCAGGACATGCAATGCCCAACTAACTCCACAGCCACCAGGCAAACATGTGGTGCGCATAAATACATGAAGGCAAAACACACACACATAGAGGAGAAAACAAACAAAATTTAAGTTAAAAATAAAAACTAAAACAACAACAAAAACCAAAATGTTTTGGTAGGGACAGTGGCGTAGAGCATAGACTAGCTGCTGTAGCCCTCACAACCCCTTGAGCTCAGTTCTCACCCCATCTCCCTTTCCTGCTCCATAGACGCCCACATCCTCCAGCCATATACTTTACCCTGCCTCACCTAGGGACGCTGGCTGAGGCACCGTCCACCAGAAGCAAGGAATATTTTAACCAGACTGTTTCTGAGACCTCCCACTCTGGAACAGAGCCTCCCAAATGTCTTTTCAAAGAAAAACAGCCCAGCTGGAAGTTATTTTTCCCCTCCTGGAATTTTGCAACCCCGCGGGTTGTACAAAGAGCACTTGCTCCAGGCTGCCTTGCAAGCCAGCTTCCATATCCTGAACACTGGAGTGCCAGGGTTATTTCTTCAGTATCAGTTTACTTGTCTTTGGAAGGCCCTTGGCAGGTGACAAGCCACAAAAAGCAATTCTCCATGTTGTGACACTTTTTCTTGTCAAAGATGTCACTCTGCTTTGCCCAATATGGGACTCACTAGGACATTTCCCAACAGCCCTGAGATTTTTTTAAAAACACATTTTCCCCTGTGAAACAGTCACCCTCTTGGTAAATCTACAAAATTAGATAAAGAGCACTCTCCTTTTGTTTCACATCCTCTGACTCAGCTACTGAACAGTTTCTGGGGTCAGCAGTGGAAGTAGAGGGGAAGGGGCTGGGAATTTCGAGCAGGCTGGGAGGTGGGAGAGGAGAAGAGGAGGAAAGTTTATTTGTGGAACAGGCAGTCTGTTTTGCACCGGTTAGGTTTTTTATGTTTTGTTTTGTTTTGTTTTTTTCCTGACAACTATCGGGTTTAACCACACCGTTCAACCGTCAGGGGTGTGTCAGTTTCCTACGAGCGCAGCGGGGGTCCTCCTTGGTAGTCACCAATTGGCAGACTTCCAACTCGCCCATCCCACGTGTTAAAACTCAATTCTGGGATTCTCGGTTCTGGGACACGCATGGTGGTGGAGAGATGGGCGCTATCTGTCAGTCCTCCGCTGCTGTTTGATTCCCCTGGGCACCGGGCGTGCCCGGACTACCAACCTATGGGGACCCCCGAGGTCGGGCTGGCGCGGCTGAGCCGGGTAGAGCTGGAGGATGACTTCCCAGGCATCAGGGAGTTGGGTGCCAGTCCAAACCGGTTCAGCTCCTGCCAAGACCCCTTCTCCAGGTCCCTGTCCATCCAGAGCCGCCTCTGGTGTCTGTCTCCCGATTCTGAGGCCCCGACGGAATTGCCACTACCGCCTCGCGCTGCCGGTGACACCATCGCCCGTGTAGTTTCCCTAGGACTCCCTCTCACCCCGCGGCCACACCGCGCGCGACTCCACTCCCGGAGTCGTCGCCAGTGCGCCTCCATGTCGCGCTCACGACCGGGGCCTCCTCCGAGTCCCTCCCCAGGCTCGCATCCCCGACGGCCGTCGGCAGCCCTTCGCACTCCCGACCGCCCCTTCGACACCCCTCACCACCCTCCGCCGTCGTCTCCACCACCCGCGGCGGCCCCAGCATCCTCGCTACTACGCCGGGTCTCCGTCTCACCTCCTGCGCGCAGACTGGGGCCGGAACGTCCAAGAGGCGCGGGGAGGCGCGGCCCGGGGCCAGCACGCTCAGCAGCAGAAGCAGCCGTCCCAGCGCGGGCCCGAGAACGACCGGCGGCCGGCGGCGCGGAGTCTCCATGGCCCCGGCTCTGTCGCGGCTGGCTCCGCCGGACGGCAAGGGCCCGCGATGGGCTTCCCCAGCCCGGGACTCGCGCTCGTCCGCGGCCTCCTTCCCCCGGCTTCCGGCTCCTCCGGGGGCTGAGGGCGGGGCTTGGCCGGGACTTGGGCGGAGCTGTGCTTCCTCTGTCCCCGCCCCCGCCCCTGCCCAGGTGAGTGAGCTCTCGGCATCCTTGGCTAGGCAAGGACTGGAGTCTTTTACCAGCCCCGCCCGCTGCCAACCTGCTGTGGAGCGAGACTGCCCTAGCCACCGTGCCCTCCCCGTTTATTCTGACCCTGTGCAGACCTATATCTCCACTTAGTCCTTTTAGTCTAGTTCCCGACTCAGGACTCAAGAGAGTCTTGTTTCCTCAGTCTTTTTTCCACTCCGTGTTTTATGCATTGCAACGCTGTTAATAAAGAAATGAGCGGGCTCATCGTCGTAATGCTCATTTGTTCTCATTTTTTCTGTACGTCTTTCTAGTCCTTGATGGCCGGACCGTGTAGTTTAAGCCATAGTTATCAAGTCCATGAAATTCTGTAGTTTCTCCCTTTAAGCTCTGCATCATACATTCACACACTCAACAAACACTGTGAGACCTGTTTATGTCACTCATGGAGGATTTAGCGCTTAATGGTTGCATGCAACTTTTTTTTTTTTCACACTTGGCGGTATGATTCACATACTCACTTCTTGAAATTGCATAGTAAGTTAAACACAACTGAGCCAGACTCTTCCATTTTTGTCTATCTAGAAATTTTCAGTCCAAGGACATTATGGTAGTTTAGAGTATGACCTATGACCTTAAACAATAAAACTAGAAGTATTTGGAAAGTAAATGCACTATGAATTAATGGAATTACTCTAACCAGATTTGGAGCTCTGAACTGTCAGGTAAGTGAAAAATACAAAACAAACAAACGGAAGGGAAAAAAAAAAAAAAAAAAAAAAAAACCTGAACAGCGAGTTAGTCATCTTGTGGCTTGAGTAAAGGAAACACATCGTTCTGAAAAGAGATGGGAGGCTCTGACCTTGCTGAGTTGGAAGGGTTAAAAGTGGATCCGTGGAGGGAAGTGGAGACAGTGTGTGGAGACAGCCATCTCTTTCCAGGAGCCTTGCTGTGGAGCGCAGCGCAGTATGGCTGGGTAGGGGCTATAGCACAGGAGAGCTTGCTTCCCTGCGGAGGAGGTGCGGAGGAGTAGAGGCTGAGACTAAGGGACTGGGCGAGCAGCACCATTGTCAGGGTCCCTGAGAGTGCCCAGGATGTGCTCCAGAGCCCACTGGAGAGCCTGGCCGGTCCACCACTGTGGACAGGGGGTGATAGGAATGGTGAAAATGGGTTCATGGGTTTGGAAGGAAACAAGGGTCTTGGGTGGTGATTTCTGTGCTTTCGGTTTTGAAGCAGGAGTGTAAAAGCCAGGCTGAAGGTCTAGAAGGAAAGGGGAGGTGCTGAAGCTGCTTGGTGAACAGGCTAATGGCTTCTCCCTGATTCAGACATTTGGGACCCTGGAATCCAGGCGCATATTGAAGAAAAGGGACAGATCCAGACAAGAATAGCACCAGAGTCCCAGATTATTCTTAGAGCAAGTTCCTGACACCAAAAATCTTACCTTGTCACCCACAAAATGCTTATCTTTATATTCCCTTTGGCCTGACCGGCCAGTGGGTGATTGACAACTCCCAGAAAGACATAGCCCGCGGGGTAGTTCCCCAACAGAGCAGTTAGCAGAGTAGCAGTTGGTAGGCAGGAGAGGTTCCCAATACAGGAGCGGGCTTCTGCAAGAGGCTAGGGGATTCAGCTGTCACCCCAGGAGCAGCACACTCTAACCACCAACTGCTTGGCTTAGAAGTAAGTCTTTTTAAGCAGAAATGAGATGTTTTCTTCGATGTAAACAGTAATAGCTGTGCCCAGTTTGTAAGGTCATTCAAAGGACAGAGTCCACCACTGTTCAGTGTGTATGTAACAAAGTGCCTGGCACCAAGGTGCTCAGCGGGAGTGTTTATTCTTGTCCCCTTCTATCCCTTTGGTCATTCTTGATCACCTACCCGCTGGGCAGGACCATCAGCTAGCCTGGTGCCCGCCTCTCCTGCTGCGTGTGCATGAACCACACCAGTGTCACCTGACACACAAGGAGTAGTTTGCAAGTAATACGGCACACCTATGCAGAGACTCTTCGGTCTGACAATAAAACTTAAATTATTATTTTATTTTTTGCTTAAAACTTTTTCTTTGACAATTTGATACCTGTATACAGTGTAACTTGACCACAACCACCTTAGTCTTTACTTCCTTTCCCCTGCCCACCCCATGTCTCCCTCCCATGTTTGTTCATGTCTTCTGTTTTTTATTAATTTATTTTTCACATTCCAATCCCAATCCCCCCTCCCTCCTCTCCTCCCGCTGTCCCCCCCCCACCTCCCATCTGCTCCTTGGAGAGGGTAGGGCCTCCCCTAGGATGTCTACTAAGTCTGTCCCATCATCTCCTTGAGGCAGGACCAAGGCACCTCTCCACCCCACACCCCTGTGTCTAGGCTGTGTATAGAATGGGCGCCACTAAGTCAGTTTGTGCATTAGAGTTAGGTCTTGGACCCATTGCTAGTGACCTCATATATTGTCCCTGTCTCGTGTCCTCTCTTTTTAAAAATGACTCATGGAGTCCAATCAGTCCGGTCCACATGCCCATGGGTGTGGGGCCATCCACTAGAGCATGGGCAATCTACCAGAGATCACATACACCCAGAGAAAATCGACTCAAACCCTCCCTCAGCTAGGGGTGGGGCCTCGAGAGCTCCTCCCCCACCAATGCGGGAATGCTGGCAGCCTTGATTTGTGCAGGTGACCAGGGCTGCAGTGAGGTCATGCCTTGTGCAGAAGACACATTTTCCAGCGCTCCTCCCTGTCCTCGGCTTTTCTATTCTCTCCACCCCATCTCCATGATATTTCCCGAGCCTTGGCAGGGGGAGGGGTGAATACAAATGTCTCACTTAGGACTGACTACTCAACAGCACTAACTGCTGCCCACTGCTAAAGAAAGCTTCCTTGGCCAAGGCTAAGAGCAGCGGTCACCCATGGGTTTAAACAAACATTTAGAAGGCAGTTTCAGAACATGAGCATAAAGAAGAAGGAGGAGGAGAATTAAAAGGTTCCCTAGCAGCTCTGACCTCTAACTGGGGGCTTTCATGTTTACAGTACCAAGCATGAATTCCTTCCTGTGGGACAGGTCTCAAATTCGACCAGAATCTCATGATTTCTCCCGTAAGAGTCATAGAGAGTCATGTCACTATTTCCCCAGCGGCCACTCCCATCCCTACCCCAGACTGGGGGGGAGGGGGGCGTGCACTGTGAAAGCCAGCCAACAGCAAGTTTTCAGGTCAGTTCCAGATGGACTTCTCTGTCCTGAAAACATGGAGTTGCATCTTCAGCAACCCAGACGTGTCTTACTATCTAGTTAAGGGGAGCAGCCGAGATCATTGGCAATGGGCCAGGTTCTTTCTGGAGTCTCCAGGGCCTCCCTGACCTGAGGCTCATAGCAAAGTGTCCCATACAGACACTGAGGTTTTTGTTTTAAAAAGGCATGTCTTAAGTGTGGGAAGTGTAAACAAAATGTAATGTCTTTTTCTATCAAAAGGTTAACTAGCGCAAAGCACCATTTAAAAGAAAATTCGAAGAAGCCAGTAGTAGGAATTCAAATTCTTCCAGGACCAACACTTCTTGTAAACAAATACATGCTCACAGTTGCACTCTTTTCAAAGAATTGCATGCTGGGTATGGGTGTGTCACCTTAAACTATGAGAGGCCAAGGTCTGACTACTCAGTGAGGCACAGGACCCCTAGGAATAAAAACCCAGCAGGGTTGGTATGGCTGTGCACCCTTCTGCAGACATAGAACTTTTTGCTGAAACACTTTGGGTTGTGTGGTCATTTTCTTGAAACACACCCTCAGACCCACAACATGGGGCTCTTTTTTTTTTTTTTTTTTTTTTTTTTTTTTACTACCAAGGATCCCGGGGAGCAGATTCCCACCCTGGGAAGTACACTCTGCTCTCTTGTCCCATGGCCCTGGATGTAGAGCACTCGACTTCCAGGATTAACAGAAACCCCAAAACAGAAGCAAACCAGCAACACAGAGACCCAAACAAGTCCCACCACAAGAACCAAGGTAGAACGGAGTCTGGGTGGCTGGGGGTTTTCAGAGGGTGACAATGTGACTGAGGTGTTGTCAGTCATGAGGCTGAGCTGAAAATGGGGAGGGAAAGGGAAACGGAAACGGCCAGTGTGGGGGTAGAAGGGGGCAGTGAGCACATCCAGGGTGGGGTGTGAGAAAGGAGGGAGTGAAGATTACTGCCTCTGACATTCTCCTGAGAGTTCATTAGGTTGAGGTTCTGGCCAGACAACTCCCAAACCAAGAGAAACGGGAAATTCAGTGTCTCAGTACTGCTTTGGTGGCTGTTGTGTGTGATTGAGATGTATATTCAAGCTCAAAGCAAACGCAGGCTCCCAAGCGGAGGCTCCTGTCTCTGGAGAGTCAGAGGGGGTGATTTGGGCAGCGTGGGGGAAACTTCCATGTAGAACCAAGGGGCCTGATCTGGAGGGACCTTCACGTGGTATAAGGACTCTGTCAGGAGTTTATACGGGCCCACCGGTAGCCATGAGGAGCCTGGTGATGCTCTGGGATGGTTTCCACGATAGGAAGGGGAGGGATGAAGCCCTGAATCCAGACATCACAACACAAGCTAGTTGTGGAAAACCAGGCTTCCTTTTGTGGAAAGGAGAGCAAAATATCAGAGCCAGTAAGAATGAGGTACTCAGGGCTAGAGAGAAGGCACTGACGGCTCTTCTGGAGGACCCTGCTTTGATTCCTGGCATCCACATAGTGACCCCCAATCATCTGCATCTCCAGTTTCTGTAACTCCAGCTCCAGCAGATCTAACACCCTCTTCTGGCCTTGGGTGCAGGGACATACATAGAAGAAAAGCACCCACATACATAAAATAAACTTTAAAAACAAAATTGGCTGTCAGGGCTGAAAAGATGGCTCAGCAGTTAAGAGCGCTGGCTGCTCTTCCAGAGGACCTGAGTTCAATTCCCAGCACCC